GGATCCTGGGGAGGGTCTTGGTGCCTGGAACAAGCTCCTAGAAAGGGCCTGGGATGTGGGGAGGATCCTGGGGAGGGTCTTGGTACTTGGAACAAGCTCCTAGAAAGGGCCTGGGATGTGGGGAGGATCCTGGCGAGGGTCTTGGTGCCTGGAACAAGCTCCTAGAAAGGGCCTGGGATGTGGGGAGGATCCTGGGGAGGGTCTTGGTACCTGGAACAAACCCCTAGAGTGGAGTCTGAGCCTGGTGGGTCCTGGAGAGGACTTGGGGGTGGTCCTGGATGGGGGCCTGGCAGCTGGGGGGGTTCTTGGAGGGGGAAATGGGGGCATGGGAGGGATCCTGGGGATCCCTGGCACCTCTGAGGAATCCTAGGAGGATTCCCGGAGAGGATCCCAGGCTGCCTCTATCCCCACAAAATGGGGTCCCAGGGGTCTCTCAGAGCAGGGGTTCTAGGGATGCCTCTATCCCCAAAAATGGGGTCCCACAGGTGCCTCTGTGCCCAAAAATGGGGTCCCAGGATCCGTTTATCCTCAGAGAAGAAGTCCCCAGGGGTCCCCCTGTCCCCAAAACATGGGATCCTGGGAGAGGTTCCTGAAGAGGACTCAGGGGTGCCTCTGTTCCCAAAAATGGGGTCCTGGGGGTCCCTTTAGCCTCAGAGCAGGGGGCCCAGCAGTCTCTCAGACAGAATGGTGGTCCCAGAGGTGCCTCCACATCCCAAAAACCAGAGTCCCACCTCATCCTCATCCCCACCACGTGACTCCCACAACTCCTCCCCAACCTGACACTGCTGAGGATCCCCCCAAATCCCTGACCCCCCCCATTTCCCCCCCCAAATTTCCCAGCCTCTGACGACGAGTTCGAGAACCTGCGGATCAAGGGGCCCAACGCGGTGCAGCTGGTGAAGACCACGCCGGCCAAGGCGGCCGCGCTGCCGCCCATCCCCGAGCCCATCCGCGACGTCATCTACGACATGCTCAACGCCCTGGCCGCCTACCACGCCCCCGACGAGGGTACGGGGGGCTCGGGGGGCTGGGGGGAGCAGAGGGAGGAGTGGGGTGCATGTGGAACGGGAATTGGGGTGTCCTGTGTGATGTCCTGGGTGCTTACCATACCCCCAGTGAGGGTATGGGGGGGCTCAGGGGGGCAGAGGGAGGAGTGGGGTGCATGTGGAACGAGAATTGGGGTGTCCTGTTCAATGCCATGCGTGCCCACTGTGCCCCTGGGGGTGTCCTGTGTGATGTTTGGGGGAACCCCCACAATGGGGGCAAACACCCCCAGTGAGGTTTGGGGTGCAGAGGGAGGAGTGGGGTGCACGTGGAACAGGAATTGGGGTGTCCTGTGCACTGTCCTGGGTGCCCACCGCATCCCTGATGAGGGCATGGTGGTCTCGGGCCCCTCCTGGGGAGTTGGGTGGCAGAGGGAGGAGTGGGGTGCACGTGGAACGGGATTTGGGGTGTCCTGTTCAATGCCATGTGTGCCCACTGTGCCCCTGGGGGTGTCCTGGGTGATGTCCTGGGTCTTTGGCAGGGGTTTGGGGGATTTGGGGAACCCCCACAATGGGAGCAAACACCCCCAGTGAGGTTTGGGGTGCAGAGGGAGGAGTGGGGTGCACGTAGAACTGGATTTGGGGTGTCTTGTTCAATGCCATGCGTGCCCACTGTGCCCCTGGGGGTGTCCTGGGTGATGTCCTGGGCTCCTGGCAAGGATTTGAGGGACTTGGGGAACCCCCACAATGGGAGCAAACACCCCCAGTGAGGTTTGGGGTGCAGAGGGAGGAGTGGGGTGCACGTAGAACAGGAATTGGGGTGTCCTGTGCACTGTCCTTGGCCTCTGACAAGGGTTTGGGGGGCTCGGGTCCCCCACAATGGAGGCACACACCCCCAGGGAGGTTTGGGGGTTATGGAGGGAGGGGGAGCGCAGGGAGCAAGGATTGGGGGGCACACGAGGAAATTGGGGTGTTCCCAAGGAGCGAGGTAGATGTGGAAAAGGATTTGGGGGTTTTCATGTGCGGGGAATTGGGGTGTTCATATATGGATGGAATTGGTGTGTTCATGTAGGGATGGAATTGGGGTGTCCAAAGAGGGACAGAATTGGGGTGTCCACATAGAGAATGAATTGGGGTGTCCATGTGGGAACGGAACTGGGGTGTTCCTGTAGAGAAGGAATTGAGGTGTCCATATAGGGAAATGGAAATGTCCATATAGGATGAAAACTGGGAGAAGAGAAGGAATTGGGGTGTCCATAAAGGAACAGAACTGGGGTGTCCATATAGGAACAGAATTGGGGTGTCTCTGTAGGAACAGAACTGGGGTGCCCATACAGGGAGAGAACTGGGGTGTGTCCATATAGGAACAGAATTTGGGTGTCCATAAAGGAACAGAATTGGGGTGTCCAAATAGGGACAGAATTGGGGTGTCCATACAGGAACAGAATTTGGGTGTCCATGTAGAGACAGAATTGGGGTGTCCATGTAGGGAGAGAAAGAATTGGGGTGTCCATGTAGGAACAGAATTGGGGTGTCCAAATAGGAACAAAATTTGGGTGTCCATGTAGGGAGAGAATTGGGGTGTGTCCATATAGGAACAGAATTTGGGTGTCCATGTAGAGACAGAATTGGGGTGTCCGTGTAGGAGCAGAATTGGGGTGTCCATGTAGGGACAGAATTAGGGTGTCCATATAGGGAGAGAACTGGGGTGTCCATATAGGAACAGAATTGGGGTGTCCATGTAGAGACAGAATTGGGGTGTCCGTGTAGGAGCAGAATTGGGGTGTCCATGTAGGGACAGAATTAGGGTGTCCATATAGGAACAAAACTGGGGTGTCCATGTAGGGAGAGAAGGAATTGGGGTGTCCATATAGGGAGAGAACTGGGGTGTCCATATAGGAACAGAATTGGGGTGTCCATATAGGAACAGAATTGGGGTGTCCATGTAGGGAGAGAAGGAATCGGGGTGTCCATGCAGGAAGGAACTGGGGTGTCTGTACTGGGCGGCAATCAGGCTGCCCCGTCCCCCAGGCATCCTCAGCCCCTCTGGGGGGGTCTCCTGTCCCCCCTGAGCGCCGTGTCCCCACTCAGGTGACAAGGGGGACCCCAAGAGCGCGGCGCCCAGCGAGGTGAGCCAGCTGCTGTCGGACATCGGGGACGACATGTACCAGCAGTACCGCAGCCTGACCCGCCCGCCCGCCGACTTCGACCCCCCCGCCGGCTTCGCCATCAACGTAGGGGGGCTGGGGGGGTCCTGGGGGGCGGTTTGGGGGGG